GGCCCTGCACCGTGAACAGTGAACATTTTATAACATACGCACACCCTGGGGCAATAGTTCCGCTGATTCTTCAATGTCGTGAGTAGATACAGCTAATATAACAGCAGAATGCACGAGTGGGTGATGATGCTACCTAGGCAGTGAACTTTAAAGATGGCAGCTGTAGTCCCACAGTTCACTGGAGTGAAGAATCTAACAGATTTAATCTGACAGGTTTTTAATGATAAACATAATACCTGTGTTCTGCAGGATAATCAGGGAGAAATGGTAGTCAGCAAAATTACTTTTTTTTTTTTTGTTAATCCTTACTTGAGGATATTTTTTCCATTGATTGTTAGAGAGAGTGGCAGAGAGGGAGGGAGGGAGGGAGAGAAACATCCATGTGAGAGAGACACATCAATTGGCTGCCTCCTACATATGCCCGGATGGGGACCAGGGCTCAAACCTGCAACCCTTTGGTGCCCAGGGCGATGCTCTAACCACTGAGCATATCAGTCAGGGCAACAGTATTACTTTGAAGGTGCCAATCAAAAATGTTAGTATTCTTTTTTTTAATTAATTCTTCAATATCCACAAGCTCAGTTTTGACGTGTTTCCAGATACTGAGTGTTTTAATAATCATCCTCAAAGGCAGCTGCACACATAAACACACATACTCCTGTATACACATGTACACACACATACAACACAGACACATGTGTGCACAGACATCAGCAAACTTTTTGCTCAGCTCTGTGCTAGTCAGACTGATTCAAGGTTATGGATTCTGCTCCTGTTTGCTGAGGTCTTCCCACATCTAAAGCCCCTAAGTCATGGACCCAAGGGTAATGGGTTCAATACAAACTCATAATCTGCGTGTTAATACGGCTACTGTACAAACACCATGGACATCCTCCCCCCTCCCCCAAGGAGGGCCCTAAAACCAGCAGATTATTTTTAGGAGAAATGGTGGCTATTTGGAGCTTCTGTAGAGAAAGTCCTCCTTCTGCCCATCGCTCCCCATCACCTCTCCCTTGTCGGCCCCACACAACCACACCTTTTCCTCCTGCATCACCTCCTTCCCATGACCTGCTCCAGCTGAGAGAGATGCAGATCAAAGGTCTTGACTCTTTCTCAGAACTCACCTGGATTAAACATGCAGCAAGTTAAGCAATGATTCAAGCTGTTCCTGTGCCTCCTCGTACTCACACCAGGGACACCAGGCAGCAGACCTCACAGCAATCCTGTCTGCCTGTCCATCCACCCATCCTATATATACATGCATACATGTGCATGCACGCGTAAGTGTTTATATGTATATACGTATACACATGCTTGCACACACACGCTCGCTTGGTTTCTAATCTGTGCAGCGATTTGGTGCCCAGGCACACGCCGTGCTCACGGCTCACGTGGGGAGGAACCAGACGGCGGAGGGACGGACAGAGGAAGGGAGGGCACCAGTGTCTGCGGGCGGGCCTGACACCCAGGCAGGGAAAGAATTTGGCTCATTTGGTATATTTTTATTGGATCAGATCATTAGATAATAAATATGGCCTAAGTCTTTGAGTCAAGTAAGTGATAAAGAGGGAGATATTTTTATTTCTTACTGTGCTCAAAATCACTAACTTTCTAAAACAAAAAGGACATCTACCCTCAAAGTAAGATCTTTATATGCCCCAGCTTCCCTGCACGCTTCGAAGCTAAATCTCCTACAACAGCCGTCCGGTTCAGGGCACCGCCCGGGCTCAGCCGGGACCTCCTTTAGCCAGGGCCAGGGCTCGGCCTGAGCAGGCCCGGGCACAGTGCAGGCCTTGCCTGGCAACCCTCTCCATCCTCGCGAGTCTTGTTTGTCCATAAGACTCATTTTCTTAAAGTTTCTGACTCATGCCAGGCTCATTTATTTGGATTTTTGGCATGAAGAATACCAAGGTCTTAACCCACTCAGGACCATTTTTCTGCCTAATTCTCAAAGGTTGGGCTTTTGTCTGATTTTCCGCACTCGGACCAGATCACTGCTCCCATTTTCTCCCATAGCCCTCATCCCCCCAACCCTTCAGCCCTTGTCAGTTCGCCGCCCAGAAAACACACGCATGTACACACTCAGACACGCGGATACGTACACACATATATACAGAGAAACACCGATGCACACATACACGTTGACTAGATACCGGATGAGTAACCCTTACAATGCTGGGGGGTTGAAGATTTGATTATTATTTCAGTTAATACAAGTAGGACAAAGGAGGGGAACCCTTTCGGAAACGTTTCATGAGAAGTTGTATTTCCTCTTAAATTCTGTCTCTTCTGCAGTTATTTTGTTGTTCTTGCCTCAAAGACTCACACTTCAAAACAAAGGTCCCCTAAGGATTTGTTTTTCATCTCAGACCCAGCTACTGGCTCCTGATTGGGTGAAACTGTGAATTATGGAGTGTGAAAAGAAAGAATTTTCACTAGAAATTAATTTATTTTTCTGCCTCTCCTGGGATGACCTAAATACCATAAAAAAATTCAGCCTCAGATTCTGAGTTCAGCAGAGACTTTCAATTTCATAAATTAACCCAAAGATTCACGCTGCCGTCCCCTTTGGGGGACACACAGAAAGAAGTGTGTGGGAATCACATCTGCGAGCAACCCCAGGGACGGATAACATGCCCAGTGTCTGCCATGGTCATGGTGCCACGGAGGTGCCCTCCGGGAGTGCCAGGGCGTGGAGCCCACCTCTCCGGGGCCGCCCTGGGGCTGCTCGGACAGGAGGGACTGTCCACTGTCCTTCCTCCGCGCTGCCCCTGCTCCGGCTCCGTGTCCCGTGTCCTGAGGACATGGTGCCCAGCTATGCCAGCGGCTGTCCTCATCACTGACTTCCCCGTTTCACAGTAGCATATCATTGTTATTTTGCTGCCGTACAAGATTTTTGTTTTTATCCCAGCTCTCTACAGACAGTTTTAGGTGAACCAGAGAAAACTTTTATAGCCAGCAAACTACCTTTCTCTTGGGACACTTTGTTGTGCTTTGAGTACATTTTAACACAGTGAGGTAACATTCATAGACGCAGAGAGACATGGGGATAGAAAGCAACCCCAGAGACATCCCATCCATCACCATGACGCCAGGCAGGCTTCACCGAAACCACCCCAGACATAGGTAAATATCCTGTTTTCACAGGTCATCAGGAAAAGAGACTCCACTGCACTCCTGGGTAACCCCTTCCAGGGCTGACTTCCCTTCAACACTGTCATTATATTTGTATTGCCGGGACATGCCCCTACTAGACTGCTGTGGGCTTTGAAAACCCAAATTTGTATATTTTGAACCACATGTCACAAAGCAGCCTGATTGTCAGCACACTGTTTAGCTGGTATTGAAAAAAAGGCCATTTTAAAGCAAATGCGTCTGCCGGTGGGGTTGGACCCAGTCGGACGGCTTTCATTTCACAGTAAAGGCGTGACCCGTCCCCCCTCCCCTGAGGGTTCTCGTCCCCCCTGAACCTGGCCGTCGTTAGATGGCAGGTTCTGCAGGTGTGCCTTTATGTGTCCCTGCTCCCAGAAGGCATGGCCAGCGTGTCCCTTTCCCCAGATCGTGTCAGCAGCAGAGCTGCCGCAAAAAGCAGAGAGCTGTTTCACGGAGGGTGTCGCTTAGACACACACAGAGCTTTCTGACCCCTGGTTTGTGCCTCCGGCTCTCAGGAACAGCAGCTCTGAAGGAGCCCTTTCCCCGGCTCCCCTCCCGCCACGTCCTGCAGGAAACCCCGGCCTGGTCTCCGCGGGTCCAGTTACGTCTTGGCCTGTCCCAGTCCACAGAGCCTTCTGCCGCTAGCAGCAACACAGCCATCTCCCTTTCTTTCGGCTGTTTCCCTTGGCAAAGGGGCAAGTGGTGAGGACCGGGCTGGTGGGGAGAGCCCTGACCAGAGCCGAGGAACCTCAGACAAGACGCAGCCGATGCGGCAGCCGCGTCATTGTCTGGGAGGCAGGGCCTGAAATTGACACCATATGCGCCAGAGGAGTAATTGCTCCGAGGGGGAGAAAAGCAACATGTCAGGACATTTTAGTAACACCTAATTCGTCCTGGGGTTATAAATAAATCTGATGCTTGCTTAAAAACAAAAGTCGAAAAATGCTTGGACGAGACTACTTTGTGACAGGGCTTCCGCCAGAGGTGAACTTGATTAAGGAGACAACATGAATAAAGAGAAACACGTAACAACTTTTTATGGTTTATTTTACGTGATTTTATTTTTTTGCAGTAAATAAAGTGGTTATAGGGCTCCAAGGAAAAGGGCCCAGATGTTAGAGAGTTGTGTGACATTTAGGGGAAACAAGCTGTAAAAAGTGGAGTCATAAAACAGGCTGTCAGTGCCGCACATCTGGACAATACAGCTGTATGTTCCTCGGGGCTGTCGTCACCCAAAGAAAACTCAGTAACCTTATTTCACCCCAATTAGGCTGCATACCAACAGGATTAGCATTAAATTGCGGGAGGGGGAGGGGCGCCCCATTCGCATGGAGCCTCTGTGCCCGTCATCTTTTATCTTTCATTTGAATTTGGTCACCAAGATAGAAATGACGGCTAGCATAGCTATTTCCATTATTATAAAGCCCAGTCTAATTTATAATGTACTAATAAGTCCATGCGGGCAGTTCAGACTGTTTGCAATGCCAAACAACAGACTTTCTGCAGCATGAACCTGACCTGTCCGGCATCCTGTCATGGAGCCCTGGCTGTCTTTCCTCTGCCCGTGGTTGAGGGTCTGAGCCTGGCACCATTGTGGCAAGCACCCTCTGCATTACTGGGAAAAGAAGTTAATTTTCAGACAACCCAATTTATTTAGAGTAGAGGATAAATGCCCCGTTCTATGGCGTTGGGGTATTTTTCCCCTAATTTTTTTGGCCAGCAATGAGGCACCTTTGCAGTAAGGCAAATATTACAGAACCAAAATGCCATTTCATCTTTTCATCACTGACAGCCTGTGCCAGAGGTTATAAAATGCCACCTTTCCTAATAATTGTGTTTCTTCATAGGTGTTAATAGCAGCAAAAGCAATTAAGGACAGTGGAGAGAAATTAACCTTACCACTGATAGGGAAACTCTTGAAATTTCAACTTCTCCAGATTAAATTTAAGGACCAACAGCGACGGGAAAACGAAAAGAAGGTACTGTACCGTGGTGGGTTTTCTAAAGACAACAAGCAGTGTGTGAAATGGGCCAGATTTCTCCAGGGACACGCCCTCTCGCCAGGAGCCAACCACATGCGTCACCTAGCACCTTTAGCTGTTCGTCTCAACCCCTTAGGGAAAAGGCTGCCGGAGGCTCTATCGAAGAAGATATATTTAGTCAAAGACAAGCCCATTAAAAATAAGTTCCCTTATGTAGAAATATGACAATATTCAGGGCCTGTGTCTGGGGTTATTTGTATAGTAGTCTCTTTATATACTAGTAACAAAGAAGGGAACCAAGGAGAGAGAGAGTCAGGAGAAGTAAATATGAAAAGCTGGAAAAAAAAAAAAAAACACATAAAATCAGGGTCCTATTTAAAATATTTTGTATGATATTCAATAGGAGTGCCTATTAAAATAATCGGCTACATCTGCACCTTCATAATAATCTGGATATTTCAGCAGAAACCCATCACTTCTATTTCCATATTATACGTCTGATTATTTCTTCATGTGTAGACTTTTCATTTAATTAGCCTATGGAAATCAATCTGTGGGTTTTCCAAAGATCCATATTTTCATCTGAAAAAAATATTATAAAATACTTTTAGCAAAGTGATGCCTGGTTCAAATCCATTTGCTATTATCATTATTCAGAATAAGAGATGTTTGTCTTATTTTTCAAATCACACTAAAATATTTTGGGACAATCAGATGCTCCTGTATGTACATGTGTAAGGTGTGTTTGTGTGCACATGTATGTTTGAAATGGATTTACATGTTAGTTGTCCCTTTATGTCCCTAAGTGGAAGTGGTAAAATCAATTCATGGAAGGAGACAGAGAAAAGTGAACGTGTGTCAATAATACCTTCTTCACCTTGGTAAGACACCCAGGTCTGGGTCTCCTACTTGAATTGGTCTCTTGATAGGATAATTGTAGAGCAAAATAATAATGCGGCCCTATATTTCTAATGTCGGGCTTTGTGTTTTTCAAAGAGATTTCCCACACAGCATCTTATTCATGTGACACATTGTCCTCAGGAAAATTCTGCTCGTCTGCACACAGACGATGGTATAGTTTTCCATCCACTGAAGCACTTTCCATCATGCCCTGGAGACTTGTACCTTAAACACTCTGAGACGTTAAGACTTGGCAGAAGAAAAATTGGAAAATTGGAAACTATAGAAACATCTTTTCGTGCCTTTTTAAATTCCAGTGTCACATGGGAATCTGAACTAGAAAAAGTGGACTGTGAGTCCTGGAAAATCCCTGCACCTTCTGTTTGCTTTTGCACAGCACCTACGAGAATACCTAACCGGCTCGAGGGTGTCTGCCAGCTATTTTACCTTCGTAATTGTTTGCAATAGGAACCGATTTTAGATCGAAGTTAGAAGATTTTAAGTAACAATAAACAGACTATCCTGGAAGCTTAAGAAAAAAGCTAAAACTAGCAATGAGCAACGATACAAAAATATTTCTGTACTGTTAGTTTGCTCAGCATCTCTTTGAAATGTGAACTATAATAATATAGTTATGAGAGTCTAAAGATATGGAGACAATTTATTTGTTGAAATTTCAGGAGTCCTAAGAAATTGGGGGTTGAAGTTTAGTTTTATTTATATATTATATATAAATAATAGATGCTTAAGAAAATTCTGTGCAATTAAGAGCCAACAATTACACAATCTAATTTGATGTCTTCATTAGATCGGGTTCCCAAAACACCAGCCCCAAATCCCAGTGTTGCAACCATATGAGTAAGTGATGAAACCTGATTGGAATGGAGTACTTCCCAAAAAATACTCTCGGTAAAGGCAAGATTAAGGGGGTTCTTTGAAGGATGATATAATCCATGTTCATTTTAACAATACTGTCCAACAGGTCAGTAGGGACAATTAAGGTTAATGTTTGTCAGCCAGGGAGTCTGGCAGAAAGCAAAATAAGTAAAAAGTATGTAAAACTGACACCATGCCGTGGATTGAAAATTGACAAAAGAGAAAAGAGGATTTTTCCTTCTCTTTCCTAAGTCCAGGGTAAGATTCTGAAATTCCTCTATGGAATGACTCCAGCTTTTTAACATCAACATGTAATCTATGTCGATGTTTTCTTTCAAATGCTAATTATATTGCTTACATCTGTACATTTTCCGAATTGTATTTTTTTAAATTAATGCTGAAAAAAATATCCATAACAGTAATTATAGAAAACCAGGGAGAGCTGTGGATAAAAATTAATATAATTTGGATCCTGTTTTTTTTCCCCAAAGAAACAAATACAGTGTATCACTATATATTTGATCCTGTTTTATTAAAAGTTTTCCTGAAAGTAAATGGTAAATAATATAATTTCAATAGCCAAATACAGTAAAAACAATCTTTTAGATTCCACTGATTTTAATAATTTATAACACTAGTCTAAGCTGTGCTTAACATTGCACTTGCTTTGACCGTGAAGGAAGTTTGCTGGCTAGTGAGTATTATAAAAATAATACAAGGGAAGATATTTCTTAGAAGAACAGTTTTGAAGCACTTAGCACTTAAATTTCTGGAGGCAACACCTCCTCTAACTACAAATAAGTTGAATATATTTTAAAACTTTGTCTATTTGGAAATACCTTATTGATTATTCCCAAATATGCATACCATGAAGGAAATATACTACATTTCTTTAAATGTATTTTAGCATTTCAGAACTTCTGAATATGACTCTTTTACAATTAATCTCAAATTAGATTTTATTGTATCTTAAAATCTGCTTAAGAGAGTGTTTTGTTTATAAATGAATTTTTCTGTACCATTATCTCAGCATTTATTTATTCTGCATTTTCAGTTCTTCTTATCAATCTGTTGTTAATTAACAAACATTTATTGAAACAAACATTTAGAGAAACAATGTAGTGGGTGGGCACATGTATTTTCATAATGTTCATTATAATTTTAAAATATATTACTTGGTTTCTATTCTGAGCCCTGTTTTTATTTAGCCATTTTCTGAATATTACTGTATCATTCGCATTTTTACTTCTTTTTAACTCTAACATTTCTGTTATATATTAATTATAAACACTTATTTAAAACCAAAATACTTCATTGTGAATCAAAATATTTAAACTATATTAAGAATATAACTGAAAGAAAACATTTAGTCATCAAAAATAGGTGAAAAAAAAACAAAACAAAAACAATTTAAACCATCAAGTAAAACTAAATCTAGTTTTCTGTGCCTCTGAGTTGAGTCAAGTTCAGAATATTTGAACAGAATTTTGGAAAAGATGCAGATGTATTCTAGCTGTGCTTTTAATTTGTGAATTCGAATAACCAGTCTATATTTTCTTGAATATTTTTAACATCTTTTTTATATAAAAGCAGAACAGTTCTTTCTGGCTTATATATTTAGTATAAGTTACCTTATTTTCTGACATACTAGGATGAAGAGAAAAAAGATGTACATTAAAGAACTACGGAGAGATGGCATTGGTATACTTCTCTTAAAGCAATTCAAAATAAAAGCACCTCAGTTTGATAAGATGTCGTGATAAAGCCATGGACAGCCCAGAGCCCACTCCAAAGGAGCGACAAAGAGAAACTAGGGTCCCTTTCACACACGTTTTCCAGCTCACTCCAGCTGAAGCCCCGAAACGCTGGAAACCAGCCAATGTAATGCCATTTTGTGTGTGTGTTTTTGTTTTAAAAGAACGGCAATAGGGACATACCAGGAAATTACAGGCTGGTTAGTTTTGATTCAGTTGTGGTTAAAATCTTCAGAAACTATGTCAAGAAATGAAATAGAGGAAGAGCAGGACCTGAGTTTAGAGGGACCCGTGTGGTTTGAGGAAAGGAATAGTTTGCTTCACTGCCTGGGTGGAATTCTCAAAGCCTGGATTATCGAAATGAGGATACTACCCACAACACCGTTAGATCTAAAGAACTGCAACATTCAACAATTCAGAGTAATTAATAAATGACTCCCTGGCTGAACAATCCGTAAAAGAAAATACTGCTTTCCTAATTGGGATGCTTTTCATTAATAAAAACTTTTTATAGACTTCATGAAAAATCTGCAGAAACACACGTTTAAAACTGAGCAGTATTTTTCAATACAAATAGCTACAGTTACAGCAGCTAATAGTAATAATTAGCTGCCATTATTGACTCTTTCCTGCTGTACTAAGCTCTTCACACATGCTATAACATTTATTATTCCCAATTTGCTGATGGAGAAACTGAGGGTGTGAAAAGTTAGGTAACTTTCCCAAGGCTGAATAGCTACTCAGAGGTGGAGCTGGAATTCACATTGGAAACTGTCAGACTCTAAAGGGCATGTTCTTTTTAAAAAAAAAAAAAAATTTCTTTATTTATTTTAGAGAGAGAGGAAGGGAGAGGGAGAGAGAGATAGAAACATTGATGAGAGAGGACATCGACTGGCCACCTCCTGCATGTCCCCCACTGGGGATCAGGCCCATAACCTGGTCATGTGCCCTGACCGAGAATCGAACCTGCAACCTCTTGGTGCATGCATCTACGCTCAACCACTGAGCCACACCAGCTGGGCAAAAGGGAGTGTTCTTAACCACTGTACATACCCCTCTTCAGTGTGCCTCATTATTTATGTAAAATGGCACGCTTAGCTCAAAACCAGTAGAGTGCCTGCCCAGAGATGTTTTCCTGTAGGAGCAAAGGCTTTGCTCTGAGATCTACCAACAGCCAGTTGGTCCCACTAATGACATGCATACAACATCCCAAGGTTAAGTGCAGAGACAGGTCCTGGAAAGCAACAAAGCTCACCCAAGACAAGGACCACAGAGCTAACCGACCACCAATTCCCGAGGGAATCCTGACTTCATTTCCAGTCCTGTCCCTCACCCAGAAATGACCAGGTCTCTGGAGGAATCTTTTAGAACTAGACTTCCTGAGCTTATTCCAAACATTCTTGCCCCTTCTCTCTGCCCCTCTGGATGCTGAGGCAGAACAGCAATTCTCAACGGTGTGCCACAAGA